TGCCGGCTGCAAAATTAGGAACGTGGCAAGTTTATAAAATTGTCCCGCTGGTTAATCTTTAACTAATATGGACTTTGGGTACAAGACCGTCATTCTAACCAAACCAAACCTAGGCCAATGCTGGAAGAGTGATGTGTGAATAGTAAAAAGTATAGAGTAACTATTGTTAACTCATCACGGACACTTTGTTAGATACCTATATAGAAACTATTTTATTCACTTTTTCAATATTTTTATGAGTAATTTTTAAAATTGGCTAACCAAAGGGTTAGCCAAGTACAAAAAAACAATAAAATGTTAACAAATTAAATTTTTATATCATATTTTCTATTATAAATAAGTTCTCTATCCATACTTGATATATAGAATTTTATATTGTTTCAAAATTACAAAAGTAGTAACACTAAAGCTACTGTAACATCCCATTTACAAAATATAAAGCTAGGCCATATCGAGATATCCGACAACTGCTTCTTTTGACCAAAAGGAATTGATCTCATTAACGATAGTATGCTTTTCAATATAAATTTGTATATATTGCATAATATCGCAATATTGCTTTTTTGTCTGAGGTTAGGATTATGAAAGTACCCCCCATCTGACTACTTTAACGGTCAACAATTTTAAATTATAATTTCAAAATGGGACTGAAGTTAACTTTAGTCTTAAATTCTTTAAAAAGACAACAAAATTTACTTTTCTTTCTATAAGTTCTATAAGGAAAATTTAGTTTATTTGCCACTTATGTTGTCTTCACTCTATTCTAGGGCATCTATGTACGATCGTACAAAGTTCATTGAAGGGACGACATGATTTCCTTTAATATAAAACAAGATTTCAGTTCTAAAGTTAAAGTTTACTTTAGCAAAGCACTTGCTTAGCATAAGCTGTAGTTAATAAGCTCGTGGAAAAACACGATTAGCCATCACTTTCATATTTGACGGGTACGAGTTTTAAACCTAGCACTTGCAGTTCTAACAAATTATAAACGGATTATAAATTTTAAACTAATTAAAAAAAATTCGTATATTTCCTTAGACCAATGATCATGAGCACTTGACAATACTCGAAACAGCATTGTATGGTCAGCAAATTTCATTAAATTACCTAAATTCTTGTACTTGTCTTTTCTTTTCTAGTCGAACCCTTCTAAATTGTAAATTAGTTTTATTTTTATATAGTCTATATAAGTTTATATAGTTATAATACTCATGCCAATGGAAGAAGTCAAAGAAGTTTTATTATTTTCTATCTGAACTCTTCTATATTGTGAATTAGTTTTATTTTTATGTAGTCCTCAATCTTTCACAATTCTTTGTAATAATATTCATCCCTATGGAAGAAGTCAAACAAACTTCGAAATATACCACCGATGTGGTGTATAAAAGAGAACTATATATTTATAATTATATATTTTATTTACATAGAATTAGAATTATATATTTATAAAGAGAGATATATAGAAATAAAAACAAATTCACAAATTTTGATTTTAATCACATAAGCCTTTTCAAAAAACATAAGGAGTAAAGTGTTGATATATATGACTACGGTTCTCAAGCGTATCTTGAGAGTATAAAATATTACCTACAATATATATCTCAGTTGCAGGGGAACAACATAATATAATATGATAAAAAAGGATATCAATTGAGAATATAGTGTACGCTGCGTCTAATTTGATGTAATTACTTTAAAAAATCTAATTATAAATATTATGGGAATACTTTTAATAGCAGGTCCTTACCTCAGAAGATATTTCGTCCGAAAATGTTATTTGTTGAAATAAGCAGATTAATTTGTCTATAGTCATAATCGAAAAGGTTATATATTATAATTATTTCTTCTATATTATTTATTAATTTGCATTGTAACATAGAGCGATGGATAAGTTATAAATAGAAAGTTATTAATTATGTATAGTTCCTTCTTAGGTATCTTCAAGTGGGTAGATAAATTATTAATTTTTCTTAATTTTCTGTGGCTTAACTTTGTCCAATTTTAATGCACATTAATTGAGTTCATTTTATATTTTTAGGTTGATTAGTTATTTAAGAAATTTTGATATTTTTCATCTTCATTGTTCACTTTGTGTTGCCAGTAATTGATTTCTTAAGTTTGCGAAGGTTTCTTCCAAGACATTAATTTTTTACTCTGACATTTTTGTATGGGGCAAATGCCAAACTTTCTCGAATTACGGTACGAAAAGAAAAACTATTTTGTTGTTTTTCCCAAGATTTTTTAGTGAATTTAATGAAAATTGTTGTTGCGAATAATAAAAGTACGGAAAATATAAACAAAAAGTTCTTTTTCGCAATTACTTCATAAGTTTTTTGATAAATTTTTAAATATTTTTCTTTCTTGCTGTGCTTTTCCCTTAACAAAGTTGGACGATATGAAAACAATGCACACAAACTTAAATACTCTAATAATATTTCTTTTGCGTGTATTTTTTATAAGATTTTGTAATTATTCTTAAAATATCAGTTGTTCGCTAAATTAACTTTAAAGGAGTTGCAAACTAAACTTATTTAAAACTAAACCAATATTAAAGTTAATAGTGGCTTTGCCAAAGCTTTGCATTCCTTACTGGCGCAGTCATTTGAAATTCACCAATTATTATTATTGAGACAAGGGGATAGTGCACTACGACCTTAAAGATCTATTGTGCCCCTTAATCGAATTAAAGTTTTCTCTAAGACCGATTTCTTTAATGAAACACAATATAGAGCCTGTATTTTCTAGTCTTGAATCTTTAGGATCCATGAAATACACTCCAAGGTGTTTCTTCCGCTTGTCCATCAGTACCGAGCACTCGCCAAACACGTGGTATACAGTTTCTCTCTCTTCTGTACAGTATCTGCAGTCTGAGTTCGATTCAATTTCTAACTTTGTTAGATGATTATTTAATCTACTGTAACCGGTCAATAATCCCGTAATAATTCTTAGATTATTTTTTATTAATCTATGCAATCTTTTTATGTTTGAAGTTCCTAAAAGCGTTTTAGATTCACCAAGAGAAAATTCAGAATTTTCTGATTAGTATCTCTTAGAGGTTTTCTGCAGTAGTGAACTACAACAACAAAAATTCTTTTTATATTATTTTTAATTAATTTAAGTTGTGCCTGATCATACATCTGTTTCGATTATTGTGAAATACCCATCATCAGTGCTCTTCGAATTATTACCAATAATTATATATTATTATCACATATTTGTATTGTACAATATGTATATTATATAGTTATTGTAACTGTACACGACAATCTCAACTGATTTGTGGGGTATAAGGTATTTATACAAATTTTTGGCTTAGTTATTAGTATGATAAAAGTTAACTATATATAAAGCTTAGAAGTCTGCTCAAATGCAGTTCTTGAGAACTCGGCAATAAAAACTATTCTAAATAAAATTATATATTAATATATACCAATATATGAATAATAATATAAATATATTGCCACTGTTTTTAAATGGCCACCGTCTTCAAAAATTGAAGACTGGACATATTTTGTAAACAGCCAACCTTCTGAAGGGCACGTAGAATCTTTCACTAGTAATGTAAGCGTCACTCTGGTGAAGTACAAAATTGATAAAAACCCAAGAGACTTAACATTTACATTAGTAAATTCATCCAAGTCTGAGAATGAGCATACTGTTCTATGTGAGCTAATGGTTGAATATCAATCGAGAGGCAGAGAGAAAATATAAAAAGTTGCTGTGCGCTACTTAAACCCTTTAGAACCATCTGTAAGACATGATGTGATATGGCTGAAACCTTATTTCTATGAACAATGGATAAAAATTACTAAAAGCTTAAATCTGTCCGACTCTAAGAATGTGCATGCTATTCCATGTAAGTTGATGGTTAAATATTAGTCTAGAGAGGAAGAAAGATTAAAGTCTTATTTCGAGAAAACAAGAAGGTATCCGGACTAGATTTTAAAGATGGCGTCGTTGTATATCACGCAGCATAGATATGTGGCGTATACATATTTTCATATCTTTTAGTTCTTATTGAACTCTGCTTGGTATATTAAAAGCAGTTGACTTAAACTGATGGTTATGTATCCATGCAGTTGAAAAAAACTTATTAAAACACATACAAACTCGACACTATTATTACTTATGGGGCGAACTAATGAGTTTAATAAGACTAATAAGGGTCTATTGATCTGGTCTGACACATACACACATAATTTAACACTATTATCACTTAGGAGACAAACTAATCGGATGAAAATGTGTTGTGAAGACACTGCAAAATCAGAACTTATTCACAAAAGTAAGGCCTCATAACATCCTATGTCCATTTTAGAATGACTTACACCCTGTTACATTCTCCGAACCAATTGACTTTTTATCGATAATCACTAGAATGCTTATTGATTATTATTTATTGAAAACATATGTGATTAGTACTAAGTTGTTTTTGTCTGTACATAATAACTTAAGTTATAAAGTGCAAACCAAGTCTCGATTTCATTTCTTTCAATGATAAGGGTTATATATAGTAATTCTATTGATTTTTACTATTAAATAACAATTGTCTGCATCTTAGTATTTACATATTGGCATACATTTTCACAATTAATCCACAAATATACAATATTACAATATTAAGTTTAAGCCGAAGTTGATTGCTTCTGTAATTGCTTTCGCTTAAGTCATGGCTCATTAATGCCGTTCTCTGAAATAGTTTCCCTCACTTTAACTTTTGTAAACTTTGTGCATAAACTTTTTATTGAAGCCATTTCAAGGTAGAAATGAATGAGCTACGTCTTTGCTTTTCCTTTTTGTTAATTAATAATCAATCAACAAATGAGAAACTTTGCTAATTTGTGTTTCGAAATAGATGTGGGCTTCATAGACCATTCGCACTAGAGCCATTCCATAGATACCGAAAAAGAAACGCAGACGTTTGCGTATTTATTTATTTACTCTTTCCGTTAATTTTGCTTGTATTAATTTGCATAAATTTCTTCTTCCTATTTTTGCAGATTGCACACACAGTCTTCGCTTGCTCGAAGTGCGAATACCCAACTACGTGATTAAAGGATCAGCAGCACAACTGGAATGTCTTTACGATTTGGACGGCGAGGCATTGTATTCAGTTAAATGGTACAAGGATGGAAATGAATTTTATCGTTACGTACCTCGAGATATGCCCCCAGCTCAAACGTTTCTCCTGCCAGGTGTTTCAGTGGACGTAAGTATTATATGTAAAACAAAATTTCAAGCAGACTTGCACTTAAAATATTAACAAAAAAAAAAAAATAAGTAAGAAAAATGCAAAGTAAATAAAAACTTAAACAAAAATCAAAAATAAAAATAAAAATAAAAATCAAAATAAAAATAAAACTAAAAATGCATAAGAACAGGAATGTTAGTCAGCATAAGAACAAGCATAAGACAAGACCCTTGCAGAGCAGACAAGCAACGTCCGTGTATCTTTAAGCGAAGTGTATGCACACTTCACGTGTGCAGTTCTTTATCAAATTCCATTTAGCAACTTTAGCAAAACTTTCTTACAATAAATTTTTGGAATATCAAAGACGAGTAAGTACCGACTTTAAGGTGGTCATAACGACTACTTTTGTTACTCTACTCTACTCTACTCTACTCTATTCTACTGTACTCAGTTCCTCTATGTAGTCCACATAGACTACATATACCATTGATATACCCTTCGTTGCTTGGAAGCTCCTATACAAGCAGGCTTTGTGCCAGACAAAGCCAGACAAAGTGTGAGTAGGGAAAGCAAAGTGAAAGTGTATCGCTGTTGTCCAAATGTAGTTCAGAGTTAAATAAATTTCAATATGTAAAAATAGTTTCACATTTACAAATGTGCTCGTTTCTTGTATTTTATATACACATAAACTTAAAATGTTTTAAAAATATATTTGATCATTGTTAGAACGCACGCAGAGTGCAATAAATTCAAGTTGTGCTTTTGAACGTGCCGTGCACTTCACGTCGTTTTGTTTGTTCCCAGATTAAGCAGCACCGTTTTGCCACTTAACGTTTTGCATTAGAGCCAAAGGAACTGAGCATGTTTTCGGCTGTCCTTCGATACTTCACAGATAAGCCACACCGAAATGCGGGGTCTGGCAAGCAACACCTTTCCAAAGATATATTGCTCTGTGGTTGGATTTAAGTTTATTGGGCACGCGATTTTAACCGGATGCCATTTAAACATAATCGATATGTGTTTGTTGCTCACTTAGTACCGTACAATTCAATAAAATACTCTATCGAAACTGCAGCTACTCGTAAAGCGTGGTTCAAGATGTAAATCCAAACGATGAAGTTAATATTTTTAAAGAAATTCAAGTATATTTTACCCAAAGAAAACATTAACTCAATAAATATCGAACTCTGGTACTGTAGAGTGAGTCGAGGTATAGTTAAACCTTACCCTTTAAAGGTAAAGTTTAAGTATATTTTACACAAAGAAAACATTAACTCAATAAATATCGAACTCTGGTACTGTAGAGTGAGCCGAGGTATAGTTAAACCTTATCCTTTAAAGATAAAGTTTAACAAGAACTCTATTTCCAACAGAAAAAGGGATAAGTAAGGTTAGCTTTATGCACTAGAGTTCACTTTAGCATAAGTAATGGGCCTCTGTGATACTACCTACAAGTATTAGATATCATCCGCATATCAGACGTTAAGAATCACCTTAATAGGTAAGAGTTAAAAACATCCAGTGTCGGAATTTTTACCCTTGGAGATAGCGAAAATAGAGTAATATTGAGATCGTTTCTAGTATCAAATGTTGAAATGTTTTCCTTTAAAGTAAAGTTTAATAAAAACTCTACTTTGAACAGAAAAGGGAGTGAGTAAGGTTATATGATGTAGTGACAGCGTAATGCACTGAAAATAAGTTAATCAAAAATTATCGGCCATTGGGTATTACGTATTAGATAGAAACCGTGCGTCAGAAGCTACGAAGAAACTTAGAAGATAAAAGTTCCAAAAATCCAGTCGAATATAACTTTGAGAAAACGAAAATAGGGTAATATTGAGGTAGTTTCTAATACCAAGAACTTTATGTTTTAATCAGGTTAATTTCTTGGAGTAACCATATCCTTATTTTAGTTTACAATAAATGCCAGTAATTATAGGTCTTTGAAAAAGTCTATTAGTTTAATAGCCTGTACATATTTTTTCGGAAAACAAATGTTAGGAAGTGAATACTGTCTAATATGAAGAGTAGGCTTACGTTACGTTATTTTTTCATTTCCACTTGCTATATTACTTTTAGAACCAACGTATAAACTGCAGATATATTACATATATTAACTTAGCTGTTATAAATGATAAGTTAAAAAGAGCAACGAATTAGATTCGGAATAATGTACGGATTAATTAACTAATGAATTACTACTAAAGACCACTAATGATTGGCAATATTGGAGGGAAGTGTATGTTCAGCTAAAAAATTTAATTAATTAAATAATAAATTGATTTCTAACGTTTATTTTGACGAAAACAAACACAATATTGTTTTCAGTTGAAAGGTTTTTATCGCATAATAGTTAATCGGTAAAACAAATATTTTCATTATTTTTAATTAATTGAGTTTCTGAGGTTAAGACATTTATTACGCCAATTTAAGGTGTGTTCAGAACTTCACTATTTAATTATAATAGCGATAATTAAGACTTTAGTAGGACTAGAACCAAAATCCTGTTTGCAAAGCATTTATTCTTGAATTTGAGAATATCTGGCATATAGAGCAACCCAAACAACGTAATTAAAATTATATCAATATATTACCTAAAACCCGTTACTGGGGTTCGATCTGACGCAGTATGTCTCTTCTAAGGTGCCTTAGGTTCATTCGCGGTTTCTCCAGTCTTGTACATGGAGTCTAGTTAGTGTCCCTTCAACTTGATCACTTCACGGTCTAACTCTACGCCTTTTTCCTCCAACTATCGTTTCATATACCTGTTTCGCTCGAGCATCTTCTAACATTCTTAAGACATGACCAAGCCAGCGAAGCCAGCAAAGCTTGTGCAGCTCGTGGTTCATTCGGATATGTTAGTCGTTGCCAACTCGTACAGGACCAAAGATTTTAAAAATAACTTTTCTCTAGGAAACTTCCAGTGTTGCTTCGTCATTCTATGATAACGTCCTTGCTTTTGCGATGTCATCAAAAACTACTTATTAATTATTATTATTACTTATTAAACTATCATTTCTTTAAGATTCAAGAAAGTGTGTCAATCTGCAGATGTTCACTCTCAGAGCTCATTGTTTGATAGATATGCATGCAACTAGATTGGAGAGCCGCAATATGGACTTCTCTAGATATGGCAAGGATGAGAGAATGGATCTCTCTTTCTCTCGGCTCTCTTTTAGTATAGAACTTACTTCTCTGGTGGTTCGTTCTTTGAGGAATTGGAAGAGCTGAGTACAGTTGACTTAATAAAATTGTTAAGGTGTGTTATTATTATCTAATAGGTTATTCGATATGAATTAGAGATGTCACGGATGTTCAAGATATCACAAAAGGCCTTAAAATTAAATGTGCCTAAAGATTTTTTGTTAAGGGACTGTCATGGTAATTATGATATATATGTTTATATCGATTCAGAATTATTTTAATAACTGATTATTAATTGATAAAAATCCCACACTAGTATTGATCATGATGTGAGAAGCAGGGAAAACTGTGAGATAATGAAAATCCGACAGGGTTTTTAAATCGTTTTTAACTAACAGTTAATGCTCTAATATTGAACAGCCGATACCTATGAACTGCTTTTTTTTATTGTATATATCTTCTATTTAAATTTTATTCTTTTTCAATTCAAGTTTTCAGTATTGATTGGATATGTCACATATATTTATGTGACATATTGGCATATGACTTTTTAAGCCTTTGGCTTGATACTGTTTATAGTGTATTTGAGAAACATATAATCACCAATTATATTATTCGATTCTTGTCTATTTGCAGTTTGCTGTTACGGTTCCTTAATCCGCATAATTTCTCAAATTACACGTTTCATTAAATTGGAAATCCGAAAACTGAAATGACTTTTTAATTGTAATTAATTAAATTATATATGCTTTGAGGTATTTGTGTTACTGAATTCAATTAATTATTCCTAATTTAAGCTAACAATTTTGACTCTAATATTACTGTGAGCCGGCGAGAATACGACAACGTATTACATGGGTTGGTCCTAATGAATTCGAATATTGCATACGTTTTTCCAATAAATTATTTAGATTTTTAATAACAGCTAAAATGAATTAAAGCCTCAAATTCGACTGTTTTTGTTTGAATAAATGACATACAATATGCAATTTAAAACACATTGTAACTGGGTACATAAATCCAAATATTGTTTGTATGTTTACATACATTGGCTTGTGTGATTTTATTCAGTCCTATAAAAACTGGGGTAATTTAAAATGCTTTAGTGATTCTAAATATTTTTATTTTATGCTTAAAAATTATTAATATGCTTTATGCAAATAAATAACATCCTTACTGAGGGCTTAACGTTAATGCCTTTAATGCAATATATTCAGATTATATTATTTGTTACTCAAACGCTCAACTAAGATTCTAGTTTATAAAGGGTTATCCATTTCGCTGTTTTGATTTGGTAGCACTATTAGCACTATTTTAGTAACATATATCAAACAGAAATTTTAACATCATATGTTTGGGTTTCAGTACAAGATTTGCCATTGTACAATATAGATCGTCTAACAGTCACTGAACGTGTTACAGCTTTGAAAAACCATTACGAAATAACATAGTGATAGTTTTCATATCGAAGTTTTCTCAGTGATAAGGCTAAATTTTAGTTTGATGCATATGTAAACAAATTGTCACATTTTAGGAAGTGAAAATAAATTACTTCAGAAAGACCGTTCTATATACAAAAAGTCATTGGATGTAGACTTCTACTTCTTTAAAAACGTATAAGATGGGACACAAGCCCTTTGACAACATCAATTTTTCTTGACTTGAAACTGAAGGTATGGATGTGATAGATATGTGGTTTCATTCGAACTGGTACCACAAGCCACAAGTCCCATTTCGGAAATTCCCCGGACGTGTAATATCACGTTGCGTTGACATGAATAGTCCATCTAACCCCTAATATCATACGATTTGTTGCCATTGACATCATTCAAATGACCCTTATCTGACTCTAACAAGAAAAAAAAAATATATTAATCATATTATGACCATCCAAAGTACCTCAGAAGGATTTAGTACTATACCATATACCATAATGCTAAAAAGCTGTGCTTATGTAAATTCATTATATGAGAATGCCAGCATATATATTCTATCGCATATAAGTTGTATAGTTCATAGAACAATACCAACGCCATTGATCTGGGTGCACTATATTAGACAACTTTTTTATCCTTTCATTATTTATTTCGATTCAGCTTTATGCGATTATATTATAAATCTTTTGCCTTTTCTAAAAGAAACTCAAACGAAGGTTTCTTGAACAGTTTTTCCATCAACACCAACCATACTTAACTGGGTGCTCTACATTTAAGTCAATTTAACTTCTAATAAATACTTTACTAATCAATTGCTCTAACTGAAGGAAACAATAACTAATGATTTCACAGTTTTTATATTGGGGTCACTCATGTCGATTTGAATGCCATATATTAGAAAATTTTTTAATTATTTAACCTTTTAAAGTGGCTTAACGTCGTATGAATTTTTTTCTATTTTATTCTGTTCTATTTATTTATTATATTTATTCTATTCTTATCTATTGATGGAAATAGAAAACGTTTGTAGATTAATATCAACTATACCGATCTGGGTCTATTATATTAGGAATATTTTTCATGCTTTACCTTTTTAAATTGATTCAACTTCATGCGAATACCTCCACTGGAGTGAACTAAAATTAAGGATTATACAGTTTTAGAATCAATATTCACTATATTGATCTGTGTAATAATAACTAAGGTATAGTTTTTATCTCTATTACTCCTTTAATATTAGCGATTTTTAGTTAATATATTATGGAGCCATTTTCTGCTGTAAAATATTTATTTAAAAATGCATAGTTTAGTTATTCTGGGAGTGAAGTAATATCTTGATCTATTTAATTAAATACTTGCATTATTTATTGATCATCTCTGTCCAACATTTATCTAATATTCTCCTAATTTTGACAAATTGGTCAAGGCTGCCACTTTGCTCCCAGACATATACTTCTCAGATATTGGGGTTCCACTTATAATTGGTAATTAACTGGTAATTAAACAAAAATATCTTAGCTTTGCCAAACAAAATTGGGCAGACGAATCCACTTTTCAGATCTCCAGATTGAACTGGAGAAAATTAGAGAAAATATGTACTAGTTAACTGCTTTAATGAAAACGCAACCTGCTCAGTACCACGTTATCAGTGTTGACGGGTCACTTCGTAATAATTATATATGCTATTAAATTGGGTCTATCTCATAAAGATTTTGTCGAAGTTGTGGCTCTGAGAATGAGACGGAAACCGTGCGCCACCTCATGTATCAGTTAAAATATCAGTTGCATAGCTCAATCTTCGCTTTTCTTACCGTCCTTACCGAGATGTCATTTTGCAATATTAGGGATTTTGTCAAGTTTATAGAACTGTTATGTTGGTTCACCTTTACCTTAAAAAGAGTCATATCTTGCGCTGAAATCTAGTCGGCGTACGTACAAAATCTTATTCCGTGGTACTACAGTGAGCCATTATATGAGCATAAATGGAATTAGGACACAACACCGCCATTCCAAGCTAACCTATCCTTAATAGACTTGAGGTCAACTAGTTTGAACTATTTCTCGATATTTGCTAATGTCACACTTATCTTAGGTGACGTATATGTGCATAGGAACCTTAATTTTAATGCTTTCCTAATATAATTAGCTGATATTAAGAAGATTTTTTTTATATTAATAAAAATATTGTTGAAAGAAACCATTCACTTTTTTGATTGGTTTGCTGGTTGGTTGCAGTGGCAGGCTATTAAATAACTTCCATGTACCCCAATTAGTGATTTTTCCTTGATTTTCTACCATATTCCTCGCAAGAATCCCTAATATAAAAGAACAGAGACTTAAACCGTCACGTCGAATTTAGATAATTTAATAGGTCTCTCGTCTTCACCGATGAGCAATCTGTTAAACTGTTCTTTTTTAATTACTTTAATTTATTAATAGCATTCAATAAAACTTGTGTTTATAACTTTCAATACTTTTACAATTGGAAGCACCCTGTATCGAAATTAAAATAGAATTTTTGCTTTAATACTGCAAACGCGTAGAGTTTGCGTATGAACCAATAAAGCATTCATGTTTTATGTAAATCATATATTCACAAAGAAAATGCATGAGCTGAGGGAGTACATTATTGCGATGTTATTTCCATAAAATCCACCCGAAAACATTTCAGCCCTACCCGCAGCTACAAAAACAGCAATGCAAATAGCAAACAATTGCAATCAATAAAATTGTGTAAAAAGAGTCTCCGCTGCAAGGCAACGACCAACGACCAACGACCAATAAGTTGTAAGCCAAAAAACGGGGCCAGCGCAATTTGAGCACCAAAGCGATTTAATGCGCTTGAGGGGAACTGGCGTTGGACTTTCGATCAGGACTTAAAGTGCTGTATTATCGACACTTGCGTTAAGTGAAACTTACATTCTATCTGTCAGCTTTAAAAAATTATAGTGCACACTTGAAAGCGATACAGTTTTTCCAGTTGCAAAATCCAAAAAGTAAATAAACTGATTGGTAGTGCACTGGATATAAACTGAATACAGAGTACAACGTACTGACTAGTGAGTACTGAGTACTGAGTTTTTTTTGGGAACGAAGTTTTGCTGCAATGCATCTACTAAGTGCCATTGCAAGTGTGCTATGCAAATGCTCTTCTTACTTAATTCTTTAATATTTATTATATGAATTTATTCACATTTTTTTTTTTTTTTCGTTTTGTTGATTTTGACAGTTGCATAATTCAAGTGATGCCATTGTGACTCTAAGGAATGTCAATTTACAAACAGCGGGTCGTTTTCGATGTGAAGTTTCTGGCGAGGCACCATCATTCCAAACCGTAACAGAACACAGTGATATGATCGTCGTATGTAAGTATACAAATATTTTATTATTGTTCGCTCTCATTATTGCGAATATCTTATCTGGAAAATATTTTATGAAAAACATGCACTTCTGCCACATAAAAATTTTATTGTTAAAACGTACACAGGAGCATTGCATAGAGATGTGATGCGATGTGATATGTTGTGATGTGATGTGTAAAATATGATAAACTTTTTGCATTAAAATTTTACTGATTATTTGATATAAGCACTTAAGTAGCAAGATTTAGATAAACTATAATCAAAATAGTTTGTGTATAAGTTTAGTATATCAATAAATGCATGGAATAGATAAGTTACCCACGCCACGCTTGATTACTCCAATGAAATTTCGGCTATCGGCTGCAGACTCTTTGAAAATCAAATATATAGCTGAGCTCTTTTTACTCTCACTTTTAATGAATATGAGAGTCACACGACTTCGTTTTTTTAAATAAATAGCATAAATAAGCGATCTCAACTGGTATGCTATAGCGCAATAGATCTAATACTCTGACCATATACAATGACTTCTAATAATATTAATAAAAATGCTTTCTGCTTTCACTGAGACTCGTTTAATGTAAACTAGTTTCAGAATATGTGTAGATTTATTGCAATTGAATTTGGAAATAAAACTGGTTTAATTCATTAAGCGATTTTTAAACATAGAGAGTGTAGAGTTTTTCTTTTTGCATGGAAGTCAGTCTCCAAACTTTTTCCAAACAAGTATTGTATATATAAACTTTCAACAAACAAATTTTTTTAATAAAGTAGTTAATTCTCAAAAACATCTAATAGATTTTAAGTAGATGTCTCACAACTTTGAACCTTCTTCCCTAGTGGCCCTATGCTCCACTAGGAGAGAAGAATAGCAGTAAGTAAGCAAGTAAGTAATTTAAAATAAAACCTCATTGTGAAATTATCCATAAGATTTCATCATCAGTTAAAAATGATACGTGACAAAAATTCTGCTATATGCTTGATCAACAAAGAGCCTATAGCCGAGAGTTAAATATTCACTATAGAATTAAGGATAGAAAGAAAAGTTCAAAACGCTTAATATTAAGCTAGCTTAATTCACTTAAACTATATAACAAAGAATAAATTACTCCATAGTTCCTGTCTCTCTAACCTCTTAGCAATAATTTCGTATGCCTTTTTAAAGAGTTTAATCGAATTTTACTGTCGGTATAAGAAGTAGAAATTAAGAAAGAATTTTCTTTGATATGACTTGAATGCTTCCTTCAGTACTAAACTTTCTTCTTAAAAAACGGAGAGACTTCTTTAAAAAAAAGCGATAGACTTGACTTCCTTTAGACTTTTTCATAGACCGTTGTTGTTAAAACTTCTTCCTAGAAAACGGAAAGACTTATTTTCCTTTAGGCTATCTCCTCAGACCCTTGTAGCTAAAACTTGTTTCTAATAAACGGAGAAATTTATTATCCATTAAGATTCCTCTTAGATTCTTGTAGTTAAAACTTTTTCCTACTAAACGGAAGGACTTATCATCACTTAGGCTATCTCATAGACCATTCTTGTTAAAACTTCTTCCTAACAAATGGAAGCACTTATATTTCTTTAGACCACCTTAAATTTTTTTGTTGCTGCAACGTTTTTCTCAAAAATGGAGGGGCTTGTCGTTCTTCACACTTCAGTTTTTAACTATCCCTGAAAATTGATATTTTGTGGATTCTTTATATATTTTTCTTTAAGATTCGTTCTCAAACTTCTTTCTCTTCGATTGTAGATTTCAAAAACTTTTTTTTTACACTATTTTCTCTTTTTATCAAATTTTTTTTCAATTTCAATTTCTTTGAAATTTAAGTTCTTATATATGCAGAAGATATTAGTTAATAGTTAAGTATTCTACAAAAGAATACAACTTTAAGATCCTAAATAAATGTGAACTACATAATTTAATTATAAAATGGCTTGATTTAATAATTTGACAAAGTTCGCTGACGCACTTTATGGTCCAATTGTAGTTTATTGTCTATATAAGTAAAAAATAGTTTATCTGATATTATTGATGATTTAAGATATTATTGCAACTGCATTGATTTATTGATATATTGTTAAGACAAATTGCATTCGCATTCCAGTATCTATGAAATAATGTGCAACAGCATCAACTCCACTAGCAGACATTTGACATTTTATGACTGATATTGACGTCATCAATAAAAGGCAAAGACATTTTTATTGAAGTTCGATTGCTCGTGGCAGTAAATTTACATGCTCTGTACATAAATTCATACTTTTACAACAATAAAAAGTAAATAAACTGTAGAACATGAGTACCCCCCGAGTATGTAGAACTGAACAAGCATTTTCAGATTCGGATTGTCGCTGATGAAGCAAATTTGATTGTTCTACAATGAAACTTCAAAAAAAAAAAAAAAACAAAAAAAAAGCTATTCGTATTCCCCACCGAAATAATTATAATTTAAAAAAATTTTTACAACAACATTACAACATTCCTGCACTACTCCGGGTTTATTGACTACTTGGGGAACTGAACTTCCGCAATGATTTTGTGAATGTTTACTCTTTGTGTGATATTAAAAACCCTTCAATTTGATTACCTGGTTGGTCCTTTCAATATTGCATTAGTTCTCGTATCCAACGGCATCCGCCAGTAATGCAGGCGTCTTTCTAGAACTATTGCTTCCTTTCCGCTTCCCAAAATGGTTAATATTTGCTTTGTTGCGCTTTCTATTTAAGTTACTTTCGCTCCTCTCCGTATTTGTTGCTTCATTTCGGGTCCAATTTCGAGTACAATTCCTATAGTTTCTTTGGCTTCGAACGAGTGTTCCTGCATTCCTCGTATGCGGGTCGTTGGAAAATTTTCTGTTATAACTCAAAATCGTTGCTTTGATTAATTTTACAACAGTTTTAAGGCAACAAATTGAATTTTTTTCTGCATATTCCTCTATTTTTCTTTATTTTTTGGAATTTTTTTGATTTTTTTTGATTTTTTTGGAGTCGAAAACAGTGTAAATACAACGCGAATACATGCGAACAAAAATAAATATTTTATTCACAGTTTTTACGAATTCATACAGTTTTTATTGTAGTTGCCGTGCTGAGTTGAGTTGAAATGGCCATCTTTTGTTTTATAGAAAAATTATATATTGCGGTTTCCATTGTGCGAATAAATGTGTGCCATTTCCACAACTGCCATGCAAGCTGATGCTCAAGCTGGCGCTCTGTTTGCATTTAAAACTTTTGCACCTAGAATAAAAAGTTGATTGAAATGCTTCAATCAAAAACCCAGAAACAATGCGCGCACAAACAAATGTAGCCAGTCCAGTGTTTTTCCGGTAATTTTTATTATAGAAACATCACACATGTTGCTGCTGAGCACCACCAACAGACCAACAGACCACCAGACCACCAGACCACCAATTTGATAACTGCTGCCACATAACGGCAATTGCAAAACTTGACCCAGCAAGAAACTTAATCGATGCCTACAAAAACAATAATATATATACATAAATAAATTATTTCAACAAAGATATTAATCTCACAATCCAACAAATTATGTACGACTTAAATATATATTCAATTATTTCCTAAAATCACTGATGATAAGTACTTGGCAATACTCGGAAGAGTCTTCTATGTGGTCAGCTAAATTTTAATAAATTAATTAAATTTTTGTTGCTGTTGTTTCATTACTGTTCGCACCCTTCCACTTTCCAGTGTCACATTCAACAAAAAACAAATTAACGTTAAATATAATAATATTTACTCATGTGAGTATATGATACTGTATAATATATATTGAACATGGTCCAAATTCTAATTCAGCACTAATTATATGCTAAATATCAATAGAAATATTATTTAAAGCATTATATATTTAGTTTAAAGTGTGTCAATATATCTCTTAATTGGTTCTAAACCTTTCTATGAACTTACACTGAAATAAGATTATCAGGAAATTGAAAGAGAAAAAATTTGCAAAGTAAAACACTTTTGCTCAGTAGGATCGATTCAAGAGCTATATCTATAAAGTTACTTTACAAATCACTGGTGTGCTTTTCAACATTGAGGTCTGTCATTTATGTCAAATGAATTTTGAAAGGTCTTCAGACAAAAGTTTCATCACTTAGATGGTATTAGTGTGCTATCTAACATACATAATATAACAACAAGCTCTAAATAGTGTTAAACTCTAAAATCTAAATATAAAAATTTAAATATCAACGCTATAAATAATAGATCTATTTAGATTATGGTGCTTTTAGGCCTTTGATAATTGTCTATTCATAATATGGGTCGTTAAAACCAATACAGGATTTAAACAAGAAACTGTATAAAATATTCAGTGTGTAATATGTTTAGTGTTTAATATGTTCATCGTTTAATATATTCAGGGTTTAACACGTTCAGCGTTTAACACGTTCGGGATTAACCACATTTAGCGTTCAATGCGTTTTGCGTTTAACACTTTCAAAATTTAATATGTTCAGTGTTACTACGTTCAGTGTTTAATACGTTTAGTATTTAAGATATTAAGCATTTAACACGCTCAGCATTTAATACGTTCAGTGTTTAACACGTTTAGCATTTAATATGTTTAGCATTTAGTATGTTTTGCATTTAGTACGGTCAGCGCTTAATACGTTTAACGTGTTTAGCCTTTAACACGTTCAGTTTTTAATACGTTTAGCGTTTATTATACTCTGCCTTTAATACGTTTAACATTTAATACGTTTAACGTTTAACACGTTTATTGTTTAATACGTTCAGCATTTAATAGGTTTAGCATTTAGTACGGCCAGCGCTTAAACGTTTAACATGTTTAGCTTTTAACACGTTCAGTTTAATACGTTTAACATTTAATACGTTTAACGTTTAATACGTTTATTGTTTAATACGTTCAGCATTTAATACGTTTAGTCTAATTGGTAAAAATTTCTCTGAACGAATTTTTTTCAGTGCTGAATATTCAATACGATTATTTCATTAGTTACTATTAACGATCGAAAGATCATTGCATCTACAAAAAATTATTGTAAGTTATGTAATTTGGTCTAAAGCTATGATTGGCTCTCACTTTTTCTTTGCTTTCGTAGCGCTAAATTAAAGATATGGATTTAGATGGTATGGCTGGTTATAAGTTCTTACTCGTTCTTATCTGCTTTGATTCTAAAACTTTGCTTTGATATAAGTTCTTACTCTTTCTAATCTGCTTTGATTTTAACGTGTCATTAAGTCTTTAACAGGAAGGCCTGAAATAAGTCCTTACTCTATCTAATCTGCTTTATTTTATATTCCAACTCATTGCAAAGATTACAATATTCCCTGCCAGGTAGTTTTCTATATAAATGCATGGTCCTTATGTCCTGAACCTGTACAAACCTACACTATTCCGAAGTCCATATTTTTTTTTGGCATTTTTATTTTTTTTGTAGAAATTTTGTGTTTCCGCTGTTTCATTGCTTCTGTCGCTTAACCATTTTAACATATCAAACAAATATTTACGCCGACACCAATTCACCCAATTCCAGTTCACCCAAAAATGCACAAACTGTTTTATTGTTCTGCACTTTCAATCAAACTGCTTCAGCTTTTTTTTGGTGAATGGTCCTCTATGGATTCAAAAGCAAAACTTCATAAAAGAGGGTAATATTGCCAACAAAAAATTGACATTAATTGTAATAATAAAACAATTAACAAAGCACATATGCGATATGGATTGAGTTGAAATTCACAGGACTCAGTTTTCGAGAAGGAACAAAGGGTAACTCCACACGTGAACAAGGACGAATCGCAGTCTTTTTGATTCACGGACTTTTATATCGAAAGACAAAAATCAAAGTTGAACTCCTAAAGCAAGAAAACAAATTCCGATATGCCATTTTCAGAAAAGTCAATGGAGAAGAAAAATCAAAGGATTTTTATTTGATGGCAATGGATTCAAAATCCATTTAATATTTTTTTAGAGTTTTGTGTAGTTTTTTGTGTTAACTAAGCAAGGAAAAATTTTATTTTTATGACTTTATGAACTTATGGAATATACGAATGAAAAGAAATAATGATAATAACCGGTCTATACCGGTTGGTTGTGATAATGATTTGGCACCTGAACGCCAAATTATATTATTTTTTCTAAAAAATGGCACAATAATAGCCATTTTTGTTATTGGGGACGTAGAAATGAATTGAGTATAAATTGAAGAAGAAAAATATGTACACAATATTACCCTTAATTCATATTTTCCTTAAGCCTGGCACAATTTTTATTTACGAACAACCAGTGACCTATTCGAAAACATTATTTCATAGCGACAAATTGCTTAATGTGCGTATAAACGTTCACAAAGGATACAAACGCTTGAGCAGAGTATGCATGTATTTCAAGGCTCCAGTCGCTTTGAACAAACAGAGTCTACTCCAGAGTCTATTGCATTTCTGCAATATGCATTTTCTAGCTCAGCATATTGAGTTTCCTTTTTTAATTTCGCAAAACTTTGAGCAATTTCCATCTTCTGGACTTTGTGCCGGATTTTTGTTCGACTGCAGATACAAGTTGAAGTATTAGGACACTTGGAAACGTGTTCGTCACAGCTTTGGCTTTTCAATTTGAGCTTCTCTTCCATTTGTTTGTCCTTTCAATCGCGTTTAAAACGAAAACTTTTAAACGCATTATGGAGGACAAATTCTAGAGAGGCGAGTGCACAGACAGAAACAAATAAGCGACACAAGATACTGAAACAATAAATGAAATTATTTAAAATTTGATGAAAGTTCCGTAGCAAAACTTTCTTTGCATATTTTTCTTTTCCAATTTATATTCATTGTGTTTAAGTTTTAATTGTCCCAAATCCGTACTAAAAGAAACGTTTTATTAATTTGTTCTGCTTTTTCCATTACAGCCCTGCCAGATCAAGGGCCTCCAAAAATTAGCGGTGGTCGTCCGCGTTATCAAATTGGCGATTGGGTTCGTATCAATTGTACTGCCGGTCGTTCCAAGCCCGCCGTGCAACTGTCATGGTTTGTTAATGGAGAACCCGCCGAGCCAAACACCCTTCGCAAATATGACACAATGGTGTCGGGCCGAGAGGGCTTGGAGACGTCCATATTGGGTCTGCAATTTCGGGTAGAGCAACATCATTTTCGCAATGGTGACATGAAACTTAAGGTGAGCATTGACGCTATTTAAATAATGGAAAGAAATTTCTAATAAAGTTATGGTTACAAAATAATTTGAAATAATTTGTATTTAATATAGTTCAGTCAGTTAGTTAGTTAGATCTTCGTTTAGATGTTTGTAATAAACATATAAACATATAATAATTTTGTATTTAGTATAAATTAAGAACTTACGGTGATGACTGATATAATCGTCTGTTGATTTATAATTATAATTATAAATACTAATAATATAATTATAATATAATTTATTATAATTATTTTATTAGCATATAGTATTGTATTAATAGTAAATATAATGCAGAAGTCGTTTTCTAAAATAAAGAAACTAGTTTCAGCTTTATTTCAAAGCAAACAATATATTTAGGTAACTTAGTATAACATAATATGACTAAAAATAATTATAATACAATGAAGATAAAAGAGACTAATGATATTAATAATAATAACAATAATAACAATAATAACAACAATGTGTAGGTAGCAAAAATACTGGCAAAAACATACCTGTATACAAGCACAGATAAAGTTGAAGGCCGGAACTGAGTTATCGCAGGTTATAGAATTTAAATAAATAAAGAGTTCTTATACGAAAAATGAAAAATATAGAAATTAAACGATAAGTAAACTTCAAGAACAAACAGGAAAATGGAGAAAAAGTAATTAGCACGAGAAAAGAAAAAACTACTCGTAATTGTAGGGATTAGGCAACACAAATGAATCAAAAGGAATCATTTTGTGTAACAATGGACCTATAAAACTGAAGAATTAAATGAATATAGAAAAAATAAAATAAAAAAATAATGAAATAGATAGGACAGTAATAGAGAGAAAGATAAAAAGAATAAATCAAAACGAAAAACCGAATTCAAAAAAAAGAAAAAGAGTATAGAAATATATGCAATCAGAAACTGTTGATGATAAGAGACAATACAAACAAACAAACAAAAGAAGAATACAGTATAGGGGTTAAGGACGGATTGTAAGTAAACAAGAGGCGGTTAAAATGGAATATATATTATAAGGAACAGATATAAAGAACATCAGAAGAAGAAGACGAAGACTAAGAAGAAGTAAATATAAAATATAAAGAAGAAGATATAAAGAAGTAGATGCAGAACAAACAAAGAAGATCAAAAACAAAATATAAAAAAAAGAAATTGAAATATAAAAAATATAAAGCAATAGGTAATACAAAATAAACATAAGGAATAAAGAAAGTGAAAACGAAAGGAAGGAAAGGAAAGATAATGGAAAAATATAGAATTGAAAACTACAAATAATAAGAAACAATACAAGCAAACGATGAATCATAATGTAGATATAATTATAATTCAGCACAAAGAACGATTTATATACATAATTGCAATTTTAGGAAGGCAAAAGAAGAAGAAAAAGCAAGTTAGGCGAAAGTGAACGTAAAAGAATGCAAAAGAAATAAAGAAAAAAAGCGAAAAACAGAACTAACAGCTATGAATTTAAAAACTGTGGTTAACAGGGCCATACTAATAAAACGAAGAATGACTTGTAAACTCAAAAAAAAAAAAATGCAAAAGAAAAGAATATATAAAAAAAAATGCAGAAGAAAAGAAATTGCAAAGTAAATAGAAAGCGTATAAAAAATAGAAGAAAAAATAAAAATAATGAGATAACTGAGTGAAAAGAAAACATATTAAAACGATATGTAATCAAAAATTTTGAATAAGAATTTAGAGACTTTAGCATCAATAGTTCAGAGTATCGAACCAGTGAACACGGATTACAGCACTGGTTATGATCCATATTTACTGGTATAAATAACATTGAGGAAATGGGTTCTGGCGGATAATTGAAAGAATTTAAATAAAAAATAAGCAGAGAGTTTTAAAAGAGAAAGAAAGAAAAGTGGACGGTGGTGAAAGAAAAAGAAAGCGTAAAAAGAGATTGAAAACAATGAAGAGTGTTAAAAGAGAAAAAAATAAATAAATATCGTATATATAGGCTAAAAAAGAAAGATAAAGATAGATAAAAATAATTTGTAATGGATATATGTAGAAGAAAGTGATAAAATATGATATAATATATGATAGAAATTGAGAAAAATTAAACAAATAAATATTTGTATGGGTAAATAAAGCTTCAGATATGTATTAATTGTAGAATAAAAAGAGAAAAATTTTATGTAAGAGAAAAATAAATTTATAGAAGATATAGAATTATTATTGCATATGATTGCATATAGAAAAACATAAATAGAATATTATATGGTAATACAATATGTAGATTTATAAATGATTAATCACTAGAATTTTATTAAAAAACTTTATATACTGAAATTATTTTTGTAAAAAATTCACTTACATATATAATTAATATATAAAGAATGTTTGATAAAAAATAAAGCGTTTCTTAAATTTAAAACACTTACAAAAAAAAATTTTACGCCAAGGAAACGTACTAAGAAATGACCTATAAATTTTACGTAACGTTCCCAGAGAAAATCTTATACAATACATATGTTTTTTGTTTTTGGAAGTAAATAAATATCCAATAATTCTTATTGGATAAAAGAGTTCTATTGAGCGACCACCCCTATTCGATTGATATATTTTGAAAATTAGCTTAATAGATAATTTTTTTGGAAAAACTTATTTCCTTTTGATCAGTCAACTGGAGGTGAAAATCTGGTACTACGGGCGTCAGTGCCTGGAGCTTTGGCTGTCTTGACTTCTTTTCATTAAAGAAAAAATAGAGTACACGTGTAGAATGATTGTATTCATTTACAATCATTTGATGTGGATTTGCATTTTCCAACTGATGCTATGATCCAAAGATCAGTAGACGAGTTAGACAGGCCTCGCTCCTCAGCAAGTAGAAGTTATGCCCAACACACATAACTTCAACTGTTAGCAGTGAAGTTGCTTGGAGTTCCAAGAGCGTCCATTGCCACAGTGTGCCGATGCAAATGTGAAGAACAGTGTGGTGTTGAGGCAGGTATCCCCTTCCAATTCCTGACATTCATGAGCAGTCAACCCATTTAAATAGATAAAAGTTTATGGACGATGTGTGTTCCATCAATAGAGTATTCACTACTTATGAATAAATAGTAAACAAATAGAGATCGGAATTTTTTTTTTAGTATCTAAAAAAGAAATAAATTTAACACACATATATATATAATTGAGAGGTTTCGAAAGGTAGTGAACTACCACAACGAATATTTAAATCTAATAAATAATTCTAAGACCACTAAGGATGGATATTTGGCAATATTCGAAACAGCTGTATGGTCAGCCAAAAATTTAATTAATTAAAATAAGATTGTAGTGTGTATATAACAAAAAAATAAATTTTCGTTGTAGTTTACTACTTTTCGAATCCTCTGTAATAAATACTACAGTTTTTATTTAAGTAAAAATAATCGCTATTGTCATGTTAAAGTCAAAATCAAAATTTTTATATTAGGACGAAGGACCTAACAGTCGAGTTCCTTATTCCTAGTTGACTTTAAAATTAATTTTTATCTCACAAATAAATAAAAATTTTATATGTATAATTATTATATTTTATTAATATTAAAAATATAATTATATTTAAAACTAAATAAATAAAAATAAATATTTTTTTCCTTTTGAAAATAGTGTGTCGCCTCCTTATCAACATTTTATTGGCGAAGCAACGAAGAGTCCGTAGAAGGTGATCGGCCACAAAAGGCACCAGTGCTCGAATCACGTGAAACAGTTTATGCTAGCAATTCCCGTGCCGATCCCGTTCAAGGTATGTCATTCCGGGAAATATTTGTTACCAAAATCTTATCGTTTTTCATTCAACCAAATGCAGCAGCCAGCAAAACGGATTCAGTCATTGTTGCAAATGCACCCAGCTTCATTGTATTGTTGTTGGCGGCAACAATTGCTACCGGCTGCCTAGAGCAGTTGCATTTATGGCAACAATTGTTGGTTCAACAACTTTTAAGAAAACGTGTACAAGATATTAAAAAACTACGACAACAACGACAAAAACAGCAACAACATGAACAACAGCAACAGCAGCAACAACAACAACAACTCTCTGCTGAGCAGGAAAAACATGAAACGGAAAAAAATCTACGAGATGAAAATGAAAATCATGGAAGAAATGAGCAACAGGAACATCATTTTGAGAATCAACAAGAACAAGAACAAAAAATTGTACAAATTAAAATGAATAAAAAAAATGATGGAAAAAGCGCTTGCTTTGAGAAAGAAATGCTTTTCGATTTTAATGAGGAAATGCCAAGTTTGTCAATGTCATCTCTGTCGTTCAACACAGCTTCCGATTTTCCGACTACAGCAACAGAAATGAGTTCGCTAAAACTGTTCGCTGCAAGGTAGCTTCATTAAACTGGAAGGAATAACCTCACAGAAAACACAAAATAATCAACAAAAAAAAAATGAAAAAAAAAGAAAAATTAAATAAATGAAAAAAAAAACAAAGAAAATTATAATTCTCATATCAAAATGAAGAAATAAAATTTTATTGCATTTAGCAAAATTTTTTTTTTTTCTTTATTTTGCCAAATATGAACACAATTTAATATATTTAATTAAATTTAAAATTTTATTTGAAATTAAAATTCTTATTAAAGAATATCACACTTCGACTATTTTGTTATGTGCAAAAATTTATATTTGAATAAATTAAATAATTTTTGGCTATATGTGAACAAAAATATATATCTATGCATTATAGTTACCGATATATATTAATGCAGTTTGCAATTACAAATCAAAAGCAAAAATTTATTTTTAAATTATTTTTAAATATTCAACTTCGCTTTATATTTTCTACTAGAATTATATAAAATAATATGCAAAATATAAAACAAATAATTCCAACACACATGTTAACGTAATTAAGTTTAACACATAATAATATATTGTCATAATAATAATATGAAATATTTTTTATATAAAATTTTAAAGCATTTACTAACTTCATAATTTTTAAAAATTTAATTAAATTAAAATTATTTATTACAATGTTTCTATTTTGTGGAGGGTACTATGCATTTATGAGTACACACACCTATCTCATATATACTTTTTTTTGTAATATAATCACAAACTTTTTTTAGTACCTAATCTACAGATTATTTAACTTCAATCCTTTCCACAACTTTTTATACCATAGGCAGTGCGTTTGTGATTTATTAAATTTTATCTGTATATTGAACTTATATATTCTATTTTTGTTAATTTTATATCTTCAGATTTTTATATCATAAAATATTACAATAAAGAGGATTGCTTACAAAAACCTTACGTTCTTCCAAGAATATACCATCTAACAAAAACTTTGCATTATAAAAACACACATCCGCCTATTTCGAATTCTATACACAAGACAGCTAATTCAACCAAATCTAAGTTATTTTAATTTTCCACTTACTAAGATTTTTTATTTATTAATATCCTTTTAAATTCCATACGGTTTCAATTAAACTGATGTGAGGTTTCGAATCTTGTATTAAAAGATACATTTGGATTTGATAATAGCTTCAGTGTGTTGTTAGCGTTAGCGTTAGACTCTAACTCTCTCAGTGTACTGTTCACTCTCTATTTCACATTTTCTCTCTCACTTTTGCTCTCATTTACTTTACTTTTTCTACCATTTTCTCCCTTTCTCTCTCACTACCTCTTTCCTTCACACCACTCTCTCTCATATCTTACTCTTTCACACATCTCTTTCTCATAACTCTCTCTCTCATAGCTGTTTCTCATGCATTCATCTCTCTCACAGCTGTTTCTCACATCTCTCTCTTTCACCTCCTCTCTCCTTCATGCCTTGCTTTCTCATACTTATCGATCTCTGTCAAAATTATCTTAAATCATTTAGCTTATACAGCTTAACAGTCATTATATTTCAGAAAATATGTTTCGATTTTGGAGTTTCGATTGTTTCGATTTGACTTGTGTTACTTAAACTTGGTGTTTTCTTCAAATCGTTTTAGTTTTTACATTCGCTTGCTTTGTTATAATTGAAAGAAAGCATAAACCACAGATATACATATTGAAATGAACTAATTCAACATGCTTTGATCTACCCATTTTTTATATAGTATTTATTTCATTTTTATTTATATGTGAAAATTTTGAATCATAAGTCCCACCAATGTCAGTATGAAAAGGAGCGGCAAAAGTACGCTGCCTTGACGAACTCCACTCTTTATTTCAAAAGGATTGGTAAGATACTCTGCATAGTTCATTCGACTCTTGTAGTTATCGTATATGGCTTTACTGATATTTAAAATATTTTCTGGTAAATTTCGTCCGCTTAGCGTATCCCATAGGTAAACTCTGTCAATTTGATAGCATTGACAATAAACAATGTCAATAATAAGCAATAATGTTAGGTTTACTCAAGTTCGGCATACACAGCATTATTCTACTACACAAATGCGTTCGCACATAAACCACAGCTATACATAATTAAATTAACTGCACTAATAATGATTTTCGTTGTTAGATTTCAGTATTAATTATTTGCATCAAAATCATTTAATTAAATCTACAGTTTTTTATATATATAATAATTCTTTTTTAGTCTCTCTAAATATAAACTATAAATCAAAAATTTAATTCTATTAAAATTAAATAAGAATAAATTTTTGTTCATATAAAGCCAATATTATTTTATATTTTCAAAGCTAAATTTATTGCTAACGCTTTGTTAATTTGTTTTTTGGCACAGATTATTTAATTTATTGTAATTAAAAAAATATTAAAAAAAAAAATCAAATTTAATTTTTAAATTTTAAAAATTTTTTATTCCAAATATTCAAAAAAAAAACGCCATAAAAATTTTATTGCTGTAATTTTTCAATTTTTACTTCATATTTCAGTATTAATATGGCCATATGAGCCAATTTGAGCTGATTTAAGTAAATAATTTTATTTTTTCATCACATAAAAATGCATTTACTATAACAAAAAAAAAAAAATATTTGCAAATCAAAGAAAAAAGCAAACAAAAAAAAAAATTAAATAAAATTATACATAAATTTAATCAAAATTTTGACATATTTCATTCACTTAAAACGAGTGTCATAAATTTAAAATTTTAATGTGTAAATAATCAAAATAAAATTTTAAGTGTTCTTGATGAATATGAAATATATACTATATGATGATACTATATGACATATAGCTCTTATAAGATGTGTGTATGACGTCACAACAAAAACGTATAAGATTTAAAAAAAAAA